AGGATTTGGCCATTTAATAAGTCCAGGGGATGGGCTGTGCTTACTGATAAAAGTTAGGGTGTCTTTGGTTTCTTTCTCACCACTTTATGGCTTCTAGGAACCAGAGCCATGAAAGATGAGGGTGTGGTACTGAGGGACAGGGGTAGGCTTGGGAGTCAGATGGACTTGGTTTCAAACCCTAGTTGTCATTTGTCCCTGCATGACCTTAACCAAGTGACTCAACTTCTGAGATACACCATCACTTCCTCTGTCATCAATCAAGCCCAGAGGCCACTGTCACCTTGAGGTTTTATGCTCTTAGCATAGTTAGTGAAGAACTCCTTGTTTGAGAGTTTATAACTTTCCCAAGATTAGTCTCATTGCTCATAGCAGAAAAAAGCTATGTTAGAGAGGCAGCCCTCCAAGATTTGAATCTTGGTTGGAATTGCTTGACCTGAGCCTTGTTTTTCTTATTTGTAAGTTGGGATTATAATGTCTAGCTCATTACATAATGAATGAGATAAAGTTTATAAACGAAGTGCCTGTTGCTCAACAAACCTTACTTTCTTTTTTGTTAAAGATCTCTATCTGCATCATGTCTTTTAAACATCTACTAAATGTCTCCCATACTTGCCCCTATCTTTTCATTGATTTATTCTCACAGTAATCCAGATATGAGTGAGAAAGTCTGAGTTCTGTGCTAAGGACAAGAGAGATGAAGAGAGGTCTTAGATTTCATTTTTCAAAAAGGAAAATAGAAAACTTTGATCTTTTAAACAAGCTTTCTTGTTAAAGCAATTTTTTAAACTTGTTTTCTTATGTTAGCTGTGTGGTAGCCACATTTTGGAGGAATTGGGTTGACTTAGAAAGGGTGGCAAACGAATACAATCTTTATTCTTAAGAATTTTCGGGGACATGATATTAAAACCTTGAAACCAAACATAGTTTGACAACATAAAATTAAACATAACATGACAAAAATAGCATGAATAAAATTAAGAGACAAACATCCAACTGGGAAAAATGGTTGCAAATATAAAATCAACAAAGCTATTTTCTTTAATATTCAAAAGGTCTTTTCGAGTACTAAGAAAATAGTATCTTAAAAAAATCAGACAACAAACAGGTGGTTCACACAAAAAAGAGTTCAAAATGCCAGTCAACCTTTCAAAAGGCTAACTTTACATAAATGAAAGAAAGCCGGTGTTTTAAAAATTTTTTTTAAAGATACCACTGTGACCTAGCAGGATTAATTGCTATATATAATGGAATGCTGGCTGAAGTATATCCTTTGATTTGCATAGAAACTGAAGAGAACATTTAGGAAGATACTTTGACAATATCTTCCAAATTAAAAGCACATTCTTGGAACTAGCAATTCTATGGCCTCCTCTGTCTTTTTATAAAATAAATGTATCTAAAGACACCCAAGAAACTTTGTTAGTGATTGCTTGTAGGATATGGAGAAGAAAGAAGATGTTTGCTTTTCACTTTGTCACCTTTTGTACTGTTGGAGCTTTCAATCTGGTGTTTGTATTTTATTATTTTTATAAAGTTAAAATTGTTATCCAGAGATGACAACATGCTTAACAATATGAAACCTGATAGTTCATAAATATGATGATCTGGGCCTGATAATCTCATTGAAACCCCATAATTGATGCTCAGACATTTTGTTTAATAAATGAACCGTAAGTGAGAAAATTCAGTATGAGATAGCTTCTTAATACGTTGCCTCAAATGTCACCTGTTATTACTTAGTAGAATGTTCTCTCTGGACCTTATTGGCCTCTGCCCTGTGGCTTTGTATTTGTACTTTTTTTTTTTCTAGTGGTGGTACTGAGGTTTGAACTCAGGGCCTTGTACTTGTTAGGCAAGCACTCTACCACTTGAGCTACCTACTCTTGGCGTGTTTGTTTTCCTGTGACAGGGCCTTTATCTTGCCCTGTTGTAGGTCCATGGATGCATCTGTCCTTCACAGCCCGTCGCATATTCACAATACTCCATCTGGGGCTTTTGGAATGTTTTGAGAGGTTCTCAGTGGAGGTAGATCTTGAGTTACCAGTAGCAGTAAGTAGGGTTTGGAGTGGCCAAGAAGAACTAGCGGAGATTAGAAAAAGGAATAATGGTAATAATACACAATGACAAGGACAGTGGCTGATTATTATTTGTTTATTTTTGGTGGCACTGGGGTTTGAACTCAGGGCCTTACAGTTGCTAGCCAGGGGCTCTTACAGCTTGTGCCACTCCACCAGCCCTTTTTTTTTTTTTTTTTTTTTAAATGGGTTTTTTCCGAGAGAGGGTCAGGGATAGGGTGCCCAGCCTTATTTATTTTTTTGAGACAGGGTCTCACTGTATAGCCCAGGCCGGTCTCGAACTTGAGATCTTTCTGCCTCAGCCTCCCAGGATTTTAGGTGTAATCTGTAGCTGTTGGCTTACTATGTGTCCATATGTTTACAAATATGTATTTACATATATTTACATATATGTATTTCATATACATACATGTATTTCATTAAGTCTCACATTGCTGGGAGAATTCAGCATTATAAGCTGTGTTCTACAGGTGAGGTGACATGCCTAGACAGCCCTGTGATGTGCTCAGTCACACAAGTGATGAAGCAGCAGCCCTGGAATTCATGAGGCCTGCTCACCATCTCCCAAGGTTTAATGCTTAACCTAGATTCTACTGGGGAGGGGGAGGTCCTGTCCTGTATGATATGGATATGGGCACCAGGACAGGGTCTGTCCATTTCCCTGAGGGGTCACCTTTAGGATTTTTGGAGTTGTGGGGCTGGACCTACCTCAGATTCTGAACTCAGACAGCGTATGTTCCTTGGCTGTGGTCATGTGTGTTTGTTTAAGGGAAACCGGGGAGAAGGAATACTGAGGGATGTTTGTTCCAGAGGAGTCTGTAAGGAAAGCCAGGGACATCCTTCCTGGGAACAGAATTTTCAGTAGTATTTTGTTATTTGTAATTTCCCTCCACTCCTCCAGAAAATACGACAAAACCACATTCCTCATGGAGTCATGCTGGACTGGATCCAGCTGGGCTGGCTTTGGATGATCACCAACCAGAGGCAGTCCTGGCTGCCTCCATCACTCTGGTCACTGATTCAGCAGATCGTGTGTGCCCTGGGCCTCGGAGTGCTGATGAGGCAGTTCATCCTTGATTTTCCTTTTTATCCCTCATGACAACCACCACAGAGCATTTCCTAGAATCTGGCTGAGGTCCTACTACCAGGGGAGGCTCAGAACCGGAGTGTCTGGAAAAGCTGCCCATGGCCATAACGGGGCAAGAATTCCCCAAGATGAGGTTGGTCTTGCTGGAGTGAGCTGTGGGGCCACCTCCAGACTCCAGACAGGTATGGAGAGTTAGTATTCCTTAGGAAGAGTCTGAAGTCACTGGGGATGACTTTAGCAGCTTTTCTTGGACAGAGTGCTGTAGCTTCCTCTGGGTGTCCATTGTGGGCTTGAAGACTCTCGGTATAGGTGTGGGGCAGTTCTCTGAGAACCTAGATGGAAAGTACCTAGCACCTGCTGAGCATGTGGCACAGTGCTGGGTGCTTGAGGCACATTATCTAATTTTCTCCTCACAACCTCCCTGTCAAGGGTGATGTTCCCATTTCATAGATGAGGCAGCTGAGACTCTGAGGATCAAGAGCTTGTCTCAGCTAAAAGGTGGCTGGCCTAGGATTCTCATGTAGGGAATAGATGGGCTGTAGATAGATCCAGTCTCTATCTGGCTGATGTGAGTGCAGGCAAGTTCTGGGCATGCTCCAGTGGATGATATCTGCCCCCGGTTTCCCCTTTGCATTCTAGGGACTGTGGGAGATGCTGTTAGGGATCCAGCAAGAGGTGGGTTTTTTTCAGAGTTGAGCTAAAGGTGCTGAAGGCACCTGGGTACAGAAGAAGTCCTTTGGTTTATGTAGTCAGAGCATGTGTCTGACCCTCCCATCCATTCTGCCTTATTTCAGCTTCCACTGGGATGGGGACTTAATATTGACAAACCCGCCAGTAAGTGAACTCCCTGGGAAATTACTATATACTTGGAGAAGGTGTGGGGTGGGGCAGTGGGACACACTGCGGGGGTTATTGCCAGTTCAGGAAGCCACATTGTTGGTACTGGTTAGCCACCTTCTCTTCCTGCCCGTGCCTGCTTGCCACCCTGGCCCTTCTATGGGCTCTGTGCCTCTTCAGCATTTTCATTCTGTGCCCTACAATGAGGTACTTCCCTGTAGCTGGTTGCATTATCGTCCAGAATCTGGATGTTTCCTGTCTTTATTACTTATTTCATGGTGGGAAGGAGCTCTGCCTTCCTGGTGACACAAGAAGATTGACCATTTGTGACTGTGTGAACTTTTCTGGAGTCCCACTTTCCCCTTTCTCACTCCTTCACAAGTGGCCCAACTCTTGTCTTATACTATGAGCTCAGCATCCTCTCACATTCTGATAGGCATGAGATCCTTTGTTGGGCACCTGCTTGGCTTATTTGGTAGGCCACTGAATTTAAAGCATTGGACCCCATTCTACTCCATCATATGACCCTCTCATTCTATCATAGGACATTAGCATTGGAGTATGAAAACATTAAAAGTCAATTTTGTACAGTGTTTGCCATTTGGCAGCAGGTTCGGGGCCAATAGGCCTTCAGCAGAGTGCTGGGTGTTCAGGGGATATGAAGAATAAAATTAGGGCATGGACCCTTGGTGCAGGGCTTGGCAGGGTCCAGGAGCTCCATGGGGTCTTGCTATAACACTTAGGAAACAATCTTGTATGATGGATGGTAAAATTGTCTCAGTGTTGATATGAATGAGAAAAGTAATATAAAAGTGCTTAGCATTAAGAAAATCAAACATAAATGTATATAGAAAAAAAGTAAAATACATCAGCCACCTTATCACTCATAGATGACTAGTGTTCATGGAGGGACTCAGGGTTTTTAAGTGTTGATTTGTTTCTATGAAGCGGTTTGATTTTATCTTTCCCAAAACTGACAGTGGCCCTGCCTTTATCCACAGAACATGGAGAGTTCCTGGCTCTGGACCTTGGAGGGACTAACTTCCGTGTGCTCCGGGTGAGAGTAACAGACAATGGGCTCCAGAAGGTGGAGATGGAGAACCAGATCTATGCCATCCCTGAGGACATTATGCGAGGCAGTGGCACCCAGGTATGGCTTTTCTCTCAGGGTAACCACTGCTGTTCTACATAGACTTCCTCTTGTGCTGTTCTTTCTGCATCTCCCCCCACCATGGAAGACAATCATCAAGACATTCCTTGATATCAGCACCATTGTAGGGATCCTCCATGCCAGGAACTCTGGCTGTTTATGTTGTGTTTTACACCCAATAATTACACTCAATAATAAAAGGAATGAGTGGAGGAGAAATGTGTAGAAGAATTTTCTTGGCACGTCTTGGGCCTCCAGCTTAAGAGGTAGAGAAGACCTCAGATTCCTACTCTCTGTTCCTTCTACCACCCAAGCCAATACTAGGATAGGAATTCCTGATCATGAGCAGATCAAGTGAGCAAGATATTTTTAGATCTTTTATTTTGCCTTTGGTAGGTGGCCTTGAGAGTAAAGTTGCTCTTCTTGTTTTAATGCTGGGGTTGGAGAAGGAAACTGAGTTTTCAGGACAACACATCTTAGCTCTGCTGAAGGTCACATAACTCCAGTATAATATTGGGAAGAATAAAGAGAGGAGAGGCTGTTCTACTGCCTCCTCCATGATGCCTGTACCATGCTGAGGTATTGAAGAGGTTGGAGCCTGTATTCCCAGTCTGGCTTTGTGATTCTAGGCAAGTGATAGCACCTGGCAGAGCCTCACTTTATCTGTACGGAGAGATGATAGTACCTACATTGGGATTGGAGAGGAGGCATGTTAAGTATGTCACACAATGTCTGGCACATATGCTGGTGCTTACTGTTTTTCCATGGGAGGTTTTGCCCACTCATCTAATAATTGTTCTTTTGTTCTTTCTACTCTGTTTCCAGTCTCTGTGGCCAGCAACTGCATTGTTCCCTTTATGGGGAACATCTTATTCTTATCTTCTTATTCTGGGCTGTACCCATCAGATTACGAATATCTGAGAACCAAGTAAATAAGACAAAACCAGAAAGAGCATCTAAAGTTTGGCTGCAATTATGAAAAAGACTTGCAATATCATGATGATGTGTTAGGTAGATTCTTACCTAATCTTTGAAGTCTCAACAACAAATATGGCCATAGCACCTCAAAACCTTTGCAGTTTCCTCCCTGCAGCCTGGCATGGGCTTGGGACTCCAGCAGGCAAGGTAGTATGTCTCTGCTAATCTAGAAAGAATCCATCGTGAGCTTTCAAGATCTGTGTACCCTCTTTATAGCTTAGAGGCTATAAAAAAATTACTTCTATTCTCCATATAATATATAAACAAAATGTTTTAGTCTAGCCTTATGCCATTAATGATATACTAGTACTATATATGTTTAATCATACTTTCAGTTAGATATTAAAATGTATTTTTCATGCACATAAGCGTGCACTTAAACCCATTAAAGTAGATAGCCCATTAAATTATTGAATCACATATACTTATTTTCCATGTGAATATTGTCACGGGTCACTTTAATTGTTATTTTTGCATAGGACATAATGTTAATCACATATACGGCATTAAGTTAAAGCAGTTCTTGCAACATGTGAATCATCTCCGACAGTGGTCTCTTAATCTGCCTTCCTCCGCGAAACCAGCAACCTGCTTAGGATGGGTCCTTCTCACTGCAGGCCCACAGTGCTCGGGGGCTTCTATGCAGAAACTGTACCTGACGTCTGTTCTTACTGTAGGGTCATTACAGCTCATTCATTCCCCTTAAATGAGACATCTCAATGGACTGATGACTATCAGTTCATGATCACACATAATTGTAGTGTTATCTTTTTTTTTTTTTTTTTTTTTTTGAGGCAGTCTCTGTATGTAGTCTAGACTGGCCTCCACCTCACTATCTTCTTGCCTCAGTCTCTTGAGTGCTGGGATTGTAGGTGGACCCACCATGTCCGACTAAGTTTTTAAAGTATATCTTATGGGAAGATGGGTGAGCAGATTCTTAGACCAATAAGGAAAAGGAAACCTTTCAAACTTCATACAGTGGTGCCCTTTGAACCTTTTTATGGCAGGAAGGTGTTAGGTTTTTTGCCAGCATCTTATCCTTAGGTCCTTAGCCAGTAGAAAAGAAGTCTTCCAGTTTAAGGAAGCAGATGGTCTCTTCTTCCTGCTTTTAAAAGGGTATAAGTTCAGCCAGGTGCTGGTGGTGGCTCACACCTGTAATCCTAGCTCCCTGGAGGCTGAGATTGGGAGGATCGCAGTATGAAGCCAACCTGGGCAAATAGTTTGTGAGACACTTCCCCCCACAATCCAAAATAACCAGAACAAAATGAACCGAAGTGTGGCTCAAGCAATAGAGCACCTGCCTATCAAGCATGAAGCCCTAAGTTCAAACCCCAGTCCCACTAAGAAAAAAAGATATAAGTTCTTTGAGCCCAGTACTGGCTGAGGGAACTTTTTTTGCAATGGGAGAACTGTTTTGTATTTGCCCTGTGCAAAACTGCCAGTTACCTGAGGTATTGAGCACTTAAAATGGGCTAGTATGACTGAGCAGCTGAATTTTAAAAATTTTGTAAAATTCTAATTACTTGAAATAGTCACAGATGGCTCATGGCCACTGTTGGGGGAGGGAACAGTATTTAAAAGCTTCTTTGCTGCCTGTTTTTTGTTTCCTCCTATTGGGAGGGTAGCTGGAGAAGGGAACATGGTCAGGGCTGAGTTAGGAGAAGCCATCTTGCCTCTCCCCCTTCTGAAGGGCCCCTGCATGTCCCATGATTGTTTTATCTCTTTGTGCCACTTTCTTTCTTTGGATAAAACTATTTGTACTAAAGATCATTTTGACTAGACTGTCAGGAAGAAGTCACTGGGAATTTTTGTAATATATACCATAATTTGTCTCCTATCAGCTTTTCAACAGAGGAGCAGAACTTGCTAAATCTCTCTCTAGAAGCTATTTATATATTAAAATTCTTGACCTCTGCTCAAGAGAGTTGGCCCATGTCTGCTGGTGATCCCCTTGATGCTGGCTTTGTACTTGCCTGCCCTTGGAGAATGTTTTGGTTTGGAAGTTGGAAGCTCAGCATTGTGGTTAACTTTGTTCAGGATCAGACAGAGGGACAGTCTATGAGGGGAGTTAGAGCTGCCTACCTCCTAGATTGGACTGGCTTTGTCTTCCTGGGTCCCTCCTGCTGACTATCCCCCAGGTATCAGGGGGACTAATGAGCCTGTCAGCCTCCCTTCCTCCACTTCTGTGTATATGCAGATAACTTTCTGTGGGGGCTTGTTAACAGATTGCTTACACATCCCCCAGACTTTCTGCTATAGTGTGTATGTATTGCTGGGCAGGGGCGGGGTGGTGTTTGAATTTGCATTTTTTAGCATGTTCCCCGGTGATGGTGATGATGCTACTGGTCCAGGAATCCTCAGTGAAATATTCTTTGTTTCTTTCTAGAAAGGAAAAGATAGTTGTTCTCTCTCTCTCCCCGCCCCCCTCCCCTGCCGTTCCTGTTTCCTTGTTTTTAGATTTTTGCCTCTTAGTTAACTTGGTCCTTGGAATCTGTTTAGCCTCTTGGCCTCTGCTTACTTTTTGCACCAGAATGCGCCTGGCCTTAGCCTTTCAGTATCTGGAGTGTCACCAGTTTCCCTTTGAGGGAGCTAAGTGGGCAAGAAGGAAGCTGGGGGTTGTGGGCTTTGGGGCTGGCTTACTCTGAATACAGCTTTCTCTAAGGCTTAGGAGCTGTGGGTCCTGCTCAGCATGGTCACAGTTGTGAGGCACGCCATCCACAAAACCCTATTTATTCTTCAGTGTTCTTCATAGCGCAGTGAACCTTCTATTTTGAAATTAGAAAACAAAGATAACTTATTAGAATTGCCCCCAGGGGATTAGTTCTCTAGAATGGAGGAAAAATATAAAAGTTGCTTATTTTTGTTAGGTCAGTTCATAGAATGCCAATGGAAAATGTCCTAGCCCTCCCCCAATCACAAGAGACAGAGATGCTAAAGTGTTTCTTGGCTGCAAAGATGAACTTTCCTTTGTGGTAAATTAATCGGCTGGGTGTCTATGACAGGGCCACCAAAGTATGTTCTGTTCTCAGGGCATGCACTGACTTTCTGCTAACGTTGGCCATGATTTCCCCTGCCTTACAGGTTATTTTGACAGCAGTTTGGATAAATAATTTAAGTAGAAGACATCATTTAATGAGCAGTAACTAGTGTTAAGCCCTTGTATGCATTGACTCATTGGATCCTGTTGGTAACTCTGTGAGGATAGGTTTGGTTATCATTCCCATGTATGGATGAACTAATGAAGACTTCAGAGGAATAAGGATTTGGCACAAATTCACCTAGTTCTTTTCTGAGCCAATAACCCCTGCTCTTCATCTCGATGCTTTCTGCCTGCCTCCTTGCTCATTTTCCTAATTCATATGTCCTTAGCTGTTTGACCATATTGCTGAATGCCTGGCCAACTTCATGGATAAGCTACAAATCAAAGACAAGAAGCTCCCCTTGGGTTTTACCTTCTCATTCCCCTGCCACCAAACTAAACTAGATGAGGTAAGATGGGTTCTTCACATGTTTTCTTGGCTTCACTCTTAGGGATGGGAGGATTGGGAAGGATTTCCAAGTCACCTACTGCCATGGGGTTAGTGGTGGCACTAAGAAATAGTGCAAATGAGGTTTCCCTATTGAGAGTTCTGTGCTTGGTAACTCTGGGTGCATGTAGGTGTGAGGAGATGGTGAAGAAGTACCAGAGGAAGGTGCTCTGTCACCCTTTCCTCCACACACATTGCGCAGTGTTCTCACATCCCCGAGGGTGACTAGAATAAGAAATTAGGAGCGTTTCTCATCTAAAGTGTTATGAGAAAGACTCTTGGAAGAAAGATGCCTGGGGAGTTATTGATATGAGGATATGTCTGCTATTTTGGCAGCTCTGTCACCTGCTCTTGCCACTTGTAGGGGCAATGAATCATGACAGACTCTTTCATTTAATCTCCTTTCCTTGTTTTTGTTGGAGCCTATGTTTTTCTTTCCTGGGCCAGTCAGGCAGTCTACAAATTCAGTCATGACATGTCAAGCCCAACAGCAGGGGAGTCTACTAATGATAGCTGTTGGAGGGGTATAGTCCGTATTTTAATTATGGGAAAGCAATATTCTTTCCTTGGTTCTTGTCTAGAGTTTCCTTGTCTCATGGACCAAAGGGTTTAAGTCCAGTGGAGTGGAAGGCAGAGATGTGGTGACTCTGATCCGGAAGGCCATCCAGCGGAGAGGGGTAAGTTGGGGGTGGGAGCTCGGGTCTGCAGGCTCATTGGTGTGTCTACTCTGAAAATTTTCTCTGTCTGTCCTCAGACTCAGCATGAGAAGCTATTGCAGAGCTTAAGAGGAAGTTTTCTTCTTCCCTGCTATGTTTACCCAGAAATTTCGTGTGATCAGATGCCTTTGGGGTTTTGAGATTAGTATGATAGAAAGTAACCTTAGCCTTGATGCAGGGAAAATCCTTTAGTCCTTAACCCCAAGACTTGAATTCATTGTCAAGTAAGAAAGTTGGTATGATGTTGACATGAGGGTTAAATGGGGCAGAGAGAGGATCATAAAGGTCTAGCCAAGGAGGAGCTAGGAAAGGAAGAAGGAGAGAGAGAAAAGAAGGAAGAGAGGTGAAAAGGGGGAAAGAAAGAAGAACTCTGGCTACAAACCAGACTGCATGGTGAAGGTTGTGCTCCATGGGGAGGACAAGCAGGATGGGAGCAAGGTGCTACTGTTTGACAGGGTCTTGATCTAGATTTCCAGCTCTTACCTTTTTTGGCTCTGACTTGGGCTCATAAGGGGGGACCCCTGTTGCATTTGATCTCTGTGTTTTCTTGCTCTTTCTCCATCTTTATACTTGTCTTCCTTCTGTGATTTCCACAGGACTTTGATATTGACATTGTGGCCGTGGTGAATGACACAGTTGGAACCATGATGACCTGTGGTTATGATGATCAGAACTGTGAGATTGGTCTCATTGTGGGTGAGTGGGCACTGTCCAGTGGATGGGGATGTGGGCTGGAGAGAAAGGAGGGATCCATAGCCTAGGTGTTTCCTTGTACTTCATACAAGATAAATGGTGCAGCCACTTTGGAGGGCCAAGCCAGGACTGGGTGGTAGAGGGCTGCACCATGTGTTGGTTGCTCTAAGAGTCTGCAGTGCCCCCAGAAACCTCTGGATAGTAGTGCAAGCGGGAGATTGGGGCAGCAGGGAGGACAGTATAGGTGGCTTCTGAATGGTCCCTTGCTTTGGCCAGGCACTGGCAGCAATGCCTGCTACATGGAGGAGATGCGTCACATCGACATGGTAGAAGGCGATGAGGGGCGGATGTGCATCAACATGGAGTGGGGGGCCTTTGGGGATGATGGCACCCTCAATGATATCCGCACTGAGTTTGACCGAGAGATCGACATGGGCTCGCTGAACCCTGGGAAGCAACTGTGAGTGGGCCCTTCCTGTGGGTAGGCAGAGGGGGGGTGGGAACTGAGGTTGGGACTGCCAGGGCCCTAGGGGATGGGTTGTTTTACTGTTTTCTTTATAGTCTTACGTTGTATGCCGAAGGTTGCAAAGGCATACCCTGATTATGGGAACGTTTATGACTATCAATCACTGAGAGGGCTCTAAAATAGACAGAACAAACAGATACCAGATCATCTCAGAGCAGTCACTTTGGAAGGTCATATTCTAAGTGTGTATCCCTTTTCTTTCTTACCACCTTCTATTTGTAAATTTTCTATAGAAACTGTGAGCCACTTAAGGAAAATCATGTTGCGATGGTCAAGATGAGGGGCTCTGAAAGCCCCCTTTTGTAGTTCTCACCCCATCACTGTCCAGGGAATGAGGCTATGAGTCAGCTGCTCATTGCTGGCCTACAGAGTCCCAGGGTCTCCTGTCCCAGCTGTAGGTTGAGGAAAAACTGCCTAATGAGCCTTTTTGGCCTCTACCCGGGTCCTGTGACCCAGCCATGACCTGGGATGGATTGGAAGAGGGGACACAGCATTTTTCACCCTGAATGCTTTACACTCCAGCCTGGCCAGACTTGGTTTCATGTTACTTTTGACTTTTACACAACATAATTTCATTCTCACATTTGCCACATGTCCTTGTTGAAGATCTTGAGACAGGATTGCTACAAGTGCTGAAAGCAGTTGCAAAACACTTTGAGCAATGCAGCACTTCTGCGGTCTTCTTGGAGCTGTGACTGTCTTAAGAAAACTTTTAGCTCAGATCTCTATTTGGAGAGGCAAACCGGCCCTATAACCTCGGTCAGTGGTGGGCTACTGTTTTCTTTACCAGAGAGTACTTGCCACCTAAAAGCATGGCTTAAGTCACAAGCTTCTCTCTCATGTTGAAATGTGAGCCCATGTACTTGAACTTTCTTAGGACCATACTGGTTGTGTCTGCAAGGGTGGTGAGAGGTTTATGAGCTGAATGCCTGCCTCCACTAATAAGGCACGCCCATGGCATTCTGAGGAGCCATGTGCCCTTTGAAGTGTCCAAAGACAAAATTGCCAGCCAGGCCTTGGCAATACACCCCTGGCTTATCCTCAGATAAGACAGAAGTTGGGAGGATATCTTCCAAATTGTCAGCTGTGGTGGCCCTGAAGTCATGATAGACAGTGTCACACCGTGGAGACTCACTGGTCTTGGTGTGATTCCCATTAGTTTCTATAGAGCTGGCTTTTTGGGAGAAGATGTGAAACAGACATGAATTTCTTACTGTTTGAAACCAGGTTGCTACCCAGGTGGGAACCTGTGTTAGTGTTTTGACTTTTTTTTCCTTGCTCTGTAGCCCAGGCCATCCTGCCTCAGCCTCCTGAGTGCTGGGATTATAGGCATATGCCACCATGCCTGGCTTTGCTTTGACATTTTCAAAGCACCCTTGCTTGGATCCATGCTGCCAGATTTCCTTTTGCTTCAGTCTTGCCCTACCTGGCCTTGCGTTTTGAGCAAGTAACTTCCTGAGGGCCTGGGTTTCCTCTCTGGTTGGTGATGTCTAAATCTGCCACGTGGTCCTGGTCTGGGCCTCCTCGTTGCTGTAGCACATCCTACTTAGACTGTAGGCCCAGGGTGTCTCCTTTCTCTTAGACTCAGATCCTTTCTGAAAGACCAAGGGACTGTCTTGGCCAAAAAGGAAATTGCCAGGGCTTGGTTTCCTTGGCCATGGTCCTAGTCAGAAAGACCAATTTCTAAAGAAAACAGTGTCACCTAGTGTTGGAAAATTATATTACCTGACTGTCCTCTTCGTTTTGGGACAAATCTCTGCCTGTCTAAATCACACTTCTTACCTTGTCACTTGCCTGCTCAGAGGCTTTCAAAGAATGAATCAGAGAATTATCCTAGATTCTTAAGGTTTACCCCACACTGCCCTTCTAACCTTGCCCCATCATTCCCCTGGCTCAGGTTTTCACAGTTTTTATCAGGAAAGCACAAATAGCCTGTAGGGGCAGAGCAGTGCGAGTTGATGAGTGGCTAGGCCTGTGCCCCATATTTAGTCAGTTTGACTTTTTTCTCTTGAAAATAAACATTTTATTATTCAGTTTTTATTTTAGTTTTTTATTACTTAGTTTTATTTATTTTATTATTTAGTTTTTTATTTTATTATTTAGTTTCAGGGCCTCAAACTTGCTGGGTATGTGGTCTGCCAGTTAGACATGCCTCTAGCCTAAGATTTTATTTTTAAGAAGTATTTTCTTGGTAGGGAAGAATTTAGCTATTGTTACCTACACAATACTTAGTTTGCCTCAAATATATTTTGTTCCTGAATATTCTGTATTCCCTGGATGTTTTATTTGGTTGATTAAGGCCTGTTCTTCTCCACACATGTGATCCCTTGGCAGTGCTGCCCGAGTTCATCCTTAATTGTGCCTTGATCTCTAAAGTTTGTTCTTGCTTACTGCATCTCGCCTCCCCAGGAAAGTTGTATGTTCATTGACAGTGGGGACCTCATTGTTTTGGTCTGTATTTCCCTGCAGATTTGAGAAGATGATCAGTGGGATGTACATGGGGGAGCTGGTGAGGCTCATCCTGGTGAAGATGGCCAAGGAGGAGCTGCTCTTCCAGGGGAAGGTCAGCTCAGAGCTCCTCACCACTGGCTCCTTCGAGACCAAAGATGTTTCAGATATTGAGGCGTAAGTTTCTGGCTTTCTCTGTTCACCAGGTCTCCACAAGTGGGGGCAGACATTTGGGAAATGAGGACGGGGTATTGGCTTTTGACCTTTTAAGCAAGACCACAAGAGAGTCTCACAGGTGGCCCACGTGGGCCCCTGTGACTTCATTTTACTTACTGTCTCTACTTTTGTCAGTTTGAGTATGATCCTACTACCATGAATGAGGTTGGTGGGATAGTTGCTCTCCATGTACAGGGACTTGTGCTGTTTTCCTGGTTTAGTGCTGGAGGCAGTAAAGACAATGACTCACATTCATCTTCCCCCTTTTCCTTCTCCTAAAGCTCCATTTCATTCTCCATTGGCAGTTCTCAAAAATAGACTATCCTGAATCCTGCTTCATAACAGAATATCTCTGGATGCCCAGAGGTATACCCACCCATTCACACACAGCCCAGCAAGAATGGGAGTAAGGATGGCCTGATTTCTGTTTTCAATAAACAGTATCCCAAGAGTTGGGCCTAGTTTTCTGTTATTGAGAGTGTTTCTTATCAGTTGAGGTGTCCTGTTGTTTCAGGGACCAGATGTGGAGAGGAGGTAATTTTAGTACCAAAGGAAGCAGTGAAAACCCTGGGAGGAGCTGTGTCTTCTTGTTGCTAAGCCCAGAGGGGATGAGAGTACTCATTAGTGAGGCATTTAGTTCCCCTGAAAAGGAAGCTCATGTCACAGCTTCAGCTCTTTCCCACCATCTTTAGGCACAAATAGGTTGGCTGCTCTAGAGAGAAACAGGTGGGTCCATGCTGGACTCACATGTTCAGAGGTGGCTAATGGCAAAGACTCCACTTGTCTACCCTAAGGCAAGCAAACAACATAAACTCACACTCACTAGCCTAGTGTGTTAAGCATCTAAGACAGGGCCTTGTCTTCATGTGGTACCCACAAAAATGCTAGTTTTCTACATTGGGGAGAAAGGGTAGAGGCAGGGCAGCAGTGTGTGTGTATGATGGTTTGTGCCTCGGAGAGGAGTTCAAGGGTAAAGATGTTGTGTTTTACCCTTCCTCCTTGTTCTGTTCCCTCTCACAGGTGGGCAAAGCAGTGATGAGGGGCTTCTTTTGTGCCAGCCCACACCCCCTTCCTGCTGGCCACCATGGGCCAGGCATGTGCCCCTGCACTGTCTTTCTGTTTCCTAGGGATAAGGATGGTATCCAGAAAGCCTATGAGGTTCTGGTGCGGCTGGGCCTGAATCCACTACAGGAGGACTGTGTGGCCACTCACCGGATCTGCCAGATCGTGTCCACACGCTCAGCCAGCCTGTGTGCAGCCACCCTGGCTGCCGTGCTGTGGCGCATCAAGGAGAACAAGGGCGAGGAGCGAATGCGCTCCACCATTGGGGTTGATGGCTCTGTCTACAAGAAACACCCCCAGTGAGTCAGTTTCTTGGGCCTAGGAGTGATGGAGCCCCCAGAACAGCTGGGACCTAGTAACTGTATGGGCCAGCTCCATTTTGCATATCAGGGTCTCTGTAGAATAAAAGTTCCCACCTAGGCAAGTGGGAACTGGGAGATGTCATTCCTGGTATGGGTAGAGGTGATTTTGAAGGTTACTGACAACTTGGGCTCTATTCAGAGCTTCCCTAGTTGCTGGGTGCTCTTCTTGTCACCTTCTTTATGAATCACCTTCTTCTCATGATTCTTGGTAGTCCTAGAGAAGTTTTTGTCCTCTGCCAGGGTCCACCCCAGCCCAGTGATTTACCAGCCTCTCTGGCTGATTTTGGCATTGAATTGATCGTACCTTGTCCACATATTGGTCCCTTGGTTTATATCCACCTATATGTCCAAATTTCAGTTGGGCCCTGGAAGACACCTTTCCATTGTGCTCACTTATTTTCTTATCATTTTCTCTTACTGTAAGTGTAAGGTCAATGCACCTTCATTAACTGAATTGGTTGCTGCAGAGGGTCTCAGACCTGGATTCTCTAGTCTCCCAGCCAATACCCCAATAACTTTAAGGTGCACTTAGGGATGTTGTTAAGAGGCAGATTGTGGTTCCGAAGGACTGGGATGAAGGTGGGCCTGAGATCTTAATAGCCTCTAATGAGGTTTCAGGCCCATAGATCACACTTAGAATACCAAGACCATGGTTCAAAGCTGCCAGCACCCCAAGTGTTTCTTGCTGAACATAACTGTTACCTTTAGTTCTTCAGACACTTGGGATTGATGGCAGAAACTTGAAAAAGAGGCCAAAGTCAGAAGAAAGGCATTCTAGTGTTTCTATTGGGGTCTTTCTCAGACAACATCAGATGAAATGAGATAGTCCATGAAAACAGGTGTTATTGGCACCACTTGATTCTACTGGGTGTCCCAGCAGAGATTGACTACACCTGATTGGGCAGAGGAGCTGTGGCTGTGGACCAGATCAGTGAGGAAGATGAGGTCTTGTGTGACTGTATACAGTGGACAGTGGCTTGATAGAAGTCTCCTTTCCTTTCAGTGGAGGATAAACCCAGCCAGGGTGGTCATAAAAACTCATATCTGAGTTTTTATACAGTGACCCCTAACATGGGAAAAAGCAGAGAGAGGAGGTTCAGAGCAGCTCCTGATTCTGCAGGGGCCTCTTAGCTTTTGGGATGAGGCGGTGCTACCATTTGTACCACTGACCTTAACTGTGGACCCTTGTCTCTCATCTTGGTGGCTGCAGTTTTGCCAAGCGTCTTCACAAGACCGTGAGGAGGCTGGTGCCTGACTGCGATGTTCGCTTCCTTCGCTCCGAGGATGGCAGTGGAAAAGGGGCAGCCATGGTGACGGCAGTAGCTTATCGGCTCGCTGACCAACACCGAGCCCGCCAAAAGACCTTAGAGCCTCTGAAGCTGAGCCATGAGCAACTGCTGGAGGTAAAGAGAAGGATGAAGATTGAAATGGAGCGAGGTCTGAGCAAGGAGACACATGCCATTGCCCCTGTGAAGATGCTGCCCACCTATGTGTGTGCCACCCCTGATGGCTCAGGTACACAGCGGGGCTGCCAACGGCTTCCGTACTGGTGTGGATGCTTGGGGAGGCTCCCTTAGCCTTAGACTTTTACACCATGCTTCTGCAGCTGAATCACTGTAAGGGAATTCTGATGTTCCACAAAGACAACCAGGGCTCCCTCTGGTAAAATCAAAGAGAAATAACAATCAGTACTTCACTGAGTGCTTATTATGTGTCAAAGCACTTAACATGTATTCATTCATTTACTGTTTGTTAACTTTAGCAGTTACTTTATTAACAAACTGCATGCTGTTGGGTAGAAAGTAAAGGCATAGAGAAGTTAAGAAACTCACCCAAGTTCATACAGCTAGATAGTGTCAGAACTGGGATTCAAGCCCAACAATTCAGATTCCCAGAACCAGCTTTCACAACTATCATATTGGTCTGTGACAGGGATCAGCAAACTATATTTCATGGGCTGGATTTGGCCTGTACCTGTTTTTGTGAATAAAGTTTTATCGGTATACAACCACTCCCATTTGTCTATATAGTGTTTGATAGCTGCTTTCCACTGGTCTGGCAAAGTCAAGTGGTTGTAGCAGAGACTGCATTACCTAGGAAACTTAAAATGTTTCCAGCCTGGTGCTTTACAAATCTCTGACTCCTGGTGTAGGTCTTACAATCTAATGGTGGTATTTTCCTAATTCACAGAAAAATGACTGAGCAGACCAGTGTAGCCATTTGGTATAGGCTCCAGGAGTCAAGACTGGAGTTTGGTCTCGGCTCACCTTTTTCTAAGTGGTGTGTTCTTGGGCAAGAGATTTGCCCAGCTTAGCAAGATCTCCATCATCTGTAAGAGCGGATGAAATGCATCCCTCACAGGGCTGCCTAAGGGTTGGATGAGGAAAGTGTATGAAGCTTGTGGTCCACTGAAATTGCCCAACAAAGGAGTGTTTCACATTTTAAAGTATTTCCCTTCAACTTCCTAAAAGAGCTTCACTTTGCTGTTCCTCCCCTATTCTAGAATCTAACCTAGGGTGCAAATGGTGTATTTAGTTTTAAGTGAACTGTATCAGAGCTCATTCTGATTTGTGGAGCCCATCATGTGGGCTCACTGAGAAGCAACAAGGAACCAGCAGGGATCTGGGCCTGGGGGGTCTTATTTTCTTCACTATTAGATGGGCTATACACTCCATCATCTCTTGAGGCTGTTGAGTTCTATGGAGGGCCCTTCGACAGAGGTCACTCTCTGTTACCTTAACTCATCATCTTCCTTGGTTTCATCTTCAGAAAAAGGAGACTTCCTGGCCTTGGACCTTGGCGGAACAAATTTCCGGGTCCTGCTGGTGCGTGTGCGGAACGGGAAGCGTCGAGGAGTGGAGATGCACAACAAGATCTACTCCATTCCTCAGGAGGTCATGCATGGCACAGGAGAGGAGGTGAGGCAGGGTGCCACCTCCGAGAAGACCTGTGGTATTTTTCCTTCAAGGACAGAACTTTTGTCTGCTCACCCATGGCCCAGGAGAGGGCTCTGTGATCAAAGCCCCAGTGTGGTCTCTCCCTAAGTTGTGCTTTCTTTTGGGTGGGAACCTTGAACTTGTGCTCAGACCCTACTGGGGTTGCCTGCCCTTGTCACAGCCCCTTCCTCAGTGTCCCAACTTTTCCCTGCAGCTCTTTGATCACATCGTCCAGTGCATCGCTGACTTCCTGGAGTATATGGGCATGAAGGGTGTGTCCTTGCCTCTGGGTTTCACCTTCTCCTTTCCCTGCCAGCAGAACAGCCTGGATGAGGTAACAGTTTCTTGGAGGGCTCTTCTAAGGGTCTTATTAACAACCAACTAGTCCAGGTTTGGAGCAGAGGAGAAAGTTAAGCTGAGAGGAGGGACCTTGGAGAGGAGAAGCCCTTTGAGGGGAATGAGTTAGCCAAGGCTGGTGGAGGTTAAGTAGATTAACTTGGCTGCAATGATCTTTGGGACAGTGATGATTAGTATCATCAAAATACTAACTCACATTTTTAAAACTCTATGGCACACACTATGTTAGGCTTCCTCTGTGCCTTGTCTCATTTAACCCTCACAGCAACTGTGTAAGACAAATGTTTGTATACCCATTTTGCAGAAAGGAAGATCAGAGGTGCTGAGTATTTTGCTCTAGGTCACCTAGCATGGGAGTGGCCAGGCCATAATTTGAATTCTGTTTCCCTGACATCTGAGCACATGTGCTTAAATTATGCCCTTCTGCTTTTGAGGCCCTTGTTATGGGCTCAGGACATTTTCATTTTGTCTCCTGTTGTGTGGATGCTTTGGCTTTTCTGTAGTCTCACATTTCTTTTTATTCCCTTCAATTTGCCTTGGCTGAATGAAGCTGATGGGTAGAGATCTGGTACTCCATCCTGGAGAAGAGTACATGGAGAAGTAGGGAAGAACTGAGCAGTCAGTGCTTGGATTGGCGCTGATGACTTAAATGTCACAGTACTGTTGCTTGAGCAGTTGTTCTTCCATGTCCGGGCCAGTCACACAGAAGCCCACATGCATACGACAGGTGTGCATTTGCTGTGGAACACTCCAATGTATATCCTTCCAAACTTTTCCTGCTAAATTTTTTTTTTTTTTTTTTTTTTGCAGTACTGGGAGTTGAACTTAGGACTTTGAGCTTGCTAAGCAACCACTGCCATTTGAGCTATACCCTTGGCCCTTTTGGCTTCAGTTATTTTTGAGATAGGGTCTTGCTTTATACCCAGGCCAGCCTGGACCTCAGTCCTTCTATTGGTGCTTCCCATGTAGTTGGGATGACTGGCATGTACCACCATACCCAGCTTTTATTGGTTGAGATGGAGGTCTCATGAACTTTTTGTCCCAACTGCTCTCAAACGTCAGTCTTCCCCACTTCCACCTCCTGAGTAGTTAGGATTACAGGCTTGAATCACACCTGGCTTCTACTAAAAATTTTTAAGCAGATCCTATCTTTTCATTCCAATATATTTATTATCTTTATCTTATCAGGTAAACTGGAAGGTATGTTAACTATTTCTGTCAGAATTGTAAGGAAGGTTCCATATCATTGTGCTGCATTTTATTCTATTTTTTCAATATTCTGTAAGAGCATGTGTTAAATCTAGAATCAAAAAAGGTAAGAGCAAACAAAGCAGAGGACAGCTCTGTCTGTCATCTCTGGTGAGATCATCCTGCTGATGAGGCTTCCATAGGCACTGAGGAGGCGCAGAGGCCTGGAGGCTCCAGCTGCATTTACTCACCACTGGCTTTGGGCACTTCTCAGCTGTTGGGCCTGGTCTTGTCTTATAAGGCTCACCTTTAATGATGCTATTTGAAAATTGTATAAACTTTAAAGTGCCAAATGAAAACTTTTGCCAGGGATGTGAATGTAATTTGTAGATGAGAGAGATGGGTGGAGACAAACACACACTTGTCTGGATGTAGGTGTGAAAGCCAGGGCTCCACAGGGACATGCTTTGTTCTTCTTAATCTCCTGGGATCTGATCACAGTGTGACACATCCAGGTTGATGAAATGCCAAGGCAATGGGCATGAACCATGAGCAGGACCTGAGACATGCAAGTGGGCGGTAGTGAGCACAAGTTCAGCTACAGTCCCAGCCTCTTGGGAAAGGGTTTTGGGGGTGCTGATGCTGGGCTCCTGGTGACTGCCACAGCTCAGAGGGCTCCAGGGAACAAACATTTCTCCCATGTGCAAAGCCAACAGGCATCTGCTCCCAAATGGTCCTGTGACATGATGATGGACACAGTAAGAATAGGCCCACAGAGGACTCTGAGGGAGCCTGGAGGGCTTCCATCACTGAGAAATGGGGGGTGGTGAGGCCTAGACTTCCCCCTTGCTGTGACTGGGACATTTGTTCACTTGATTCTGGAGCCTGAAAAATAAGAGGCACTTACTGGCCCTTCTGATATAAAGGATGGGGACAGGGCAAACTGCTTTGCCTAATGAAGAAAGCAAGTGTATAGGGGCAGTGTGGTGCTTATGAGTCAGTGGGCCTGGAGGTGAATCCTGCTCCTCTTTTCAAAATGTAGGTAGGCCTTGGGCAAATTACTCAGTGCCTGAGTTACCTGGAAAGTGGGTGTGATCATGATCAGTGGTCCACAAGATGGCTGTGAAGATTAAATGTTGTAACACATTGATGTGCCTAGCCTAGTACCTAGTGCACAGCAGGTACTCAGTAAATCCAAGTCAGTACCTTAGGAACAGGTTTAGGATCATTGTGGATGAGATGACTGCTTTTTCCACAGAATCTGTCTGAGTTGTGAGGTTGAGCTAGAAGCAGAGCTGGGCTCAGAGAATGATCTAGAAGCCCTTCTCTGATGTCGTCTCCATTGCATGTGTGAATTTTAGAGCATCCTCCTCAAATGGACAAAAGGCTTCAAGGCGTCAGGCTGTGAGGGTGAGGACGTGGTCACCCTGCTGAAGGAAGCGATTCACCGGAGAGAGGTACAGATGTGGTGCAAGTCCCCGTGCAACAATTCCTTGATACCTGAAATGATTTGTGTATTCAGAAAGTGGGGGTGACATTGAGTGCAGCTGGGTTATGGTCTTTTTTTTTTTTTTTGGTTCAGTACTGGGGTTTGAACTCAGGGTGGCAGACACTGTACTGCTTGAGCCATGCTTCCAGCCCTGAGTGTTAGTTGCTTTGCTTGGGAGAAAATTAACTTCATCACCTGGCAATGGTTGAATGTCCACTGTACAGTGAGCCCTGCTCTGGGCTTGCAAACTAACTCAGGAGTGACCACAACAGAGTCTTATTCTATAAACAGAAACCCATGGTGCAGTGAGTGGCAGGTACTATTAAGGGTTATGAAGAAAGGAGGAGTGGGCATGAAGGCAGCAATCTTAATAGCACAACCAGTGAGAGTTTCCCTGAGAAGCGGACATTTGAGCAGACCTGAGTGAAATTAGAAAATGAGCCCATGACATAAAAAATGTATTTTATATACACACAAATTTCTGCTACACGTGTCTGAAAGGAGAAATTGGGGTTCATTTGTGGGTGAGGCATCTGTTTCTGCCCCATAGGAGTTTGACCTGGATGTGGTTGCTGTGGTGAATGACACAGTAGGAACTATGATGACCTGTGGCTATGAAGACCCTGACTGTGAAGTTGGCCTCATCGTTGGTAAGGACTGTAAACATCTTCCCTGTGGGATGCACAGCCTCAGGTGTGAAAGGGTGGGAAACTGGTGCTGAGTGATGCCTGGTGCCCTGTGATTGGCAGGCACAGGCAGCAACGCCTGCTACATGGAGGAGATGTGCAACGTGGAGCTGGTGGATGGAGAGGAGGGGAGAATGTGTGTCAACATGGAGTGGGGGGCCTTTGGGGACAACGGATGCCTGGACGACTTCCGCACGGAGTTTGATGTGGCTGTAGATGCACTCTCTCTCAACCCGGGCAAACAGAGGTAGGCTGCCATCTGTGCACGTGGGAACATCCCAGAACTGGACCGGAGTGATCTGAGTCTTTACTACAGCATTTCCCAAGACACTTGCTCTTTTGAGGTGCTAATGGGCTTCCTTGAAAGGGTTTCTTATCAAATGAAAGTTCTGAGTTAGTAAATGTAAGAAGCAGCACCCATCCTGAGGCTTAGGAGAACAGGCTGGAGAGCATTAGAGCCTAGGTCTGAGGCTCTGAGGAAAACAGATGGAAAGTGGAACCACCTGCTGCTCTGGGGTGAAGAAGCAGTACTGGGTACCAATGGGAGCAAAGCCTTTCTTTTCTCCCAGCCAAGTGGCTCCAGCATCACAAAGCCCCATGTAAGGTGGGGGTGAGGGGAGGGTCTGAGCTGAGAGACTTAGATGTAACACATTTCCCTTTAAGAAGATGTTGTCTGTAGTGACAAGGATTATCAAGGACCCAAGTCCTGCAGAATACACTTTGCAAAAACATTTGTCTAAAGTAGAGTTTCCAGACTAAAATGCCTCCAGGAATTAGACAGGCAAGCTCATTCATGAAGAAAGCAGGCTACAAGACAAGACAAGATAGGGTAGTGATGGGGTTTTGGTTAAACTGGGAACCTCAACATTTTTAAAGGTGCCATACAGGTCAAAAGACCTGTCCTATGTTCAGTTCCAGACGCCTGCTGCTGGCATTAGTTATTTAATAATGGTTAGATCCAACAGAAAGCATGCTAACTGCTTAGTGAAATCAAGGATGATAACTCTCTGTGTCATCCTCCATTCCTGGAAGCGTGGTGGTATTTGGGTGTGTATGCCTTTTTGAGGAGTTGGGAATAAGCCTTGGAAATGAGCCCAGGCAGTGGCCCAATCCCAGGGAGCCCTGTGGACCTCAGGTACCATATGGTCAGTTTTGCTGAAGGTAGATTCTGAGAGGACACTCAGAATCCTGCCCAAATGAATCAAATGGCATCCATTTCCCATCAAGGTAGCCTGCTGTCGTTGCTTTCTGTTCTGTCTCCACACATCCCTTTCTGCTTAACTTTCTGAACATTACCTACTTTGCAGATTTGAGAAAATGATCAGTGGCATGTACTTGGGTGAGATTGTTCGGAACATCCTCATCGATTTCACCAAGCGTGGGCTGCTCTTCCGTGGCCGCATCTCAGAGCGGCTGAAGACACGGGGAATCTTTGAAACCAAGTTCTTGTCCCAGATTGAGAGGTGAGAGTGTAAGGCTTGAGGGAGAGAAGAACTGTGTCTTCCTTTTTTTTTTTTTTTTTTCTCATGGATAAACAAGCTGAAGGGTTTCCACAGCTCAGGGAGATTAGGGCATGGTTTACCCAAAGCTCAGTTTACTTGACTCACACATTTCTATATGCTGTCCTTATGAAAGATCATGCTGAATATGGCATGAGGCCATGAAAAACAATATTGTTGGGTTTTAGACCAAATATCAAAGCTAGAGAGATCTGTGCTCTTAGGATGTTAATTGAAAGGCCCAGAGAAGATAATCTAATAAAACCTGCATACTCAGCTTGGAGGTCCTTCCGCACTGCTGGCTGCAGAATTGGGCAATGAGGATTGAGTACAGATGGGAATGTCAGGCAGTGCAGAAAGCCCCCTCCTTCAGTCTCATGGCAGAAAAGTCTGCCTCCAATTAAAATGGTGAATTTCAGAGTCCTTTAAAGATAAAGATCACTAATCATTACTCTCAGAGCATAGACCAGGAATCAGACAATTGGCGTGAGTGGGCCCTTGGGGCACCCCACCAGTGAATAGAGAGAATGTGTTCTAGTTTGCATGCCTGTTGATGTGTAAAGGGTATGATTTCAGGTTTCTAAAATTGTTACCTTTATGCAACAGTTTTTATTTTCTTCCTACAATTTTATTTACATCTGTTTCATAAATAACACACAGGCAGAATGCAGAGCACTCGGTGTGGAGGGCAGGAGTCCAGGGCTGGTTAATTTATGCTTGTCTTGCAGCCCTATGGATAGCAATGAGAGAAAGGATATGAAACAGCTTTGCAACTGGAAACTGCCACTTGCTGGCATTGCCATTGCCTCCTTTATTATTTCTAAATGAGTGGGACACATAGACAGTGAATTTCCTTTTGTTTTGAGTATCAGTTTTGTACTAGCAGTGCCCTCCTTTGGTGGCTAAAGTGGATCGAGGAGCCATTTCTTCACATTCTTGTTACTCTCAGGAAGAGTCAGTGTGGTCCAGTGGGGTGACCACTGCTTTGAGTTGAGTAGCAGGGTCTACCTCAAAGGGACAGCTCCCTGAGGGACGGACCCTCTCTCCACAGAGGTTCTCCTGATAAAGAGCTGTGACCCCCTCTGCCTGACTGACCTCTTGATGCTCCCTTCCCACTCCAGTGACTGCCTGGCCCTGCTGCAAGTCCGCGCCATCTTGCACCACTTGGGGCTTGAGAGCACCTGCGACGACAGCATCATCGTCAAAGAGGTGTGCACTGTGGTGGCACGGCGGGCAGCTCAGCTTTGTGGTGCGGGCATGGCTGCCGTGGTGGACAAGATACGAGAAAATCGTGGGCTGGACACTCTCAAAGTGACAGTTGGTGTGGACGGGACCCTCTACAAGCTTCATCCTCAGTGAGTGCCTCACCCCAGCTGCCCTCCCTATCTTCTCTCTCTCTCTGTACTTCTGGTCTTTCCCTTCTCTCTCTTAAAAATTATGACAAATTATAAGCCATTCCAAAGAGTGTTTTTAATGTTTATGGTTTGAAGATTAATGATCAGAAGCAGGCCTGTGTTTCCCCTTCAGTATTGGAAGCCCATTAGGATCCTCTCAATTGCACCCTTACTTTGCCCTGCTGAGGAAAAGTATTGTGTTGAATCTGTCTTGTGCTATTCTTTTTTTCCCATGGTTTTTGGCTGTACAGCAAACCTGCCTTATGTATGGATTCAATTACATGCAGTTTTGACCAAGCAGGGTCAAAAAAATTAAATAACTTTTTAAAAAATCATAAGTTTCAGAAACAAAAATTGGACATTCCCACATGCATTATACAGCTCAGTTGATGTGGAGAGGCTCTCAGTCAGTTGTTTAAGTCATGTGATCTGTTGAGTGTTTCCCTGCCTTTCATTTTGTGAAAATCTACTTCCCCACAAGTAAATGGTGCCCCCAAAGCAAGGTCAAAGTTAATGTGTTTAATTTAAGTGATAAACTTGACAATTTTAGATTTGTTGAAAGGTGGCATGTCTTTTATGCAATGTGGGTGGCATTAGGGGGAAAAAATGAATCAAGCATCTGCAGTCCAGCACTAAACTCTATGTATCCTGAGCATCTGTGTTTTTACCTCCTTGGAACCACATACCCACCAATACCAAGGGTCCAGTGTACATCTATATTGTTTAGTTTTACTTATTTTTGAACTTTCCATAAATTGAATCACATGGCATCTCTTCTGTAACTGGCTTTTCTCACTTAGTATTTATTTATTTATTTATAGGCATGGTCTCACTATGTTCTCCAGGCTGGCTTCCAATTCTTAGGGCTCAAGTGATGCTCCTGCCTCAGCCTCCCCAAGTAGCTGGAAATATATGTGTATGCCACTGCACCAGACTTGCCTTTATTGTTTTAAGAGGCATCTACATTGAAGTCTGCAATTATAGCTTGTTAATTTGGGGGGCTGGATCTCATGCTTTTGAATGAGTATGCTACCATTGCTTCTACTGTTGATGTGATATTTGGATCATTTCTGCATTTTGACTATTACAAACAGTGCTGCTATGAATGTTCCAGGAAACATATGCAGAACATATGCTGGAGTTCCAGAAAGGTGGTTTTTCTGTAGTTTAGGGCAGGGATTAGCAAGTGCCAGCCACTGACTACTTTTGTAAGTAAAGTCTTTCTGGCATGCAGCCATATGCACGCGTTTATCCATGGTCAAAGGCTGGCCCACAGTACTACAAGTAGTTACTGCCTGGCCCTTTATACAAGAAGTATACCATCTTGTCAGTATGAAAGTACCAAAGTTTTTACTACTTTCCTTCTCTCCATGTTTCTTCTCCTTTTCCCCCTCTTTATCGCTTTCTTGTTTTTCTTCACTTGTGTGTAGGTTTTGAGTATTTTATTTTGAAGTTAGAAAGTACCCCAAACACTATCCTTTGAGCTAACAGCTAAAGGAGGAGATCTGAACCCTGGCTTAGTCAGTACAGACAGGATGGAAGGGAGGACACAGAGTCCTGGATGGAACTCTGAACTGTTCTCGCTATGTTTATTTCAAGGAATTAAGACTAATTCCTAGAGTCTTAGTGAAAAGAAGAGACCTCAGAAGATCCAAGACCCTTTTCTTAATGATTAGTGCCATTGTGATATTAGGAGCCTTGGCTCTAGATGAGGGTTGGAGGGATCTGTGTTAGTCAGCTTTCTGTTACTGTAATAAAATACCTGAGACAATAAACTTATAAAGAAAGAAGGAATACTTTGTCTCTGAGTTTTGGAGTTTCAGTCCATGATTTGTTGGTCCTGTGGCAAGGCAGCGCATCAAGGTGGGATTTGTGTGGAGCAAAGCTGCTCTCCTTGCAGCTTGAAAGAGAAAAAGACAGAAAGGAAGAGACTATGGTCCCCTAGTCCCTTCTTATGCATTCCTCCAATAATGTATAAAGACTTCCTACTAGGCCCACCTCTTAAAAGGTTCCACCATCTCCCAATAGCTCCAAGCTCGGGACCAAGCCTTTAACACTTGCCCAAAGGAGCATTTTAGATGCTAACTATAGCAAGCAAGGATGGAAACCACCATCCCTGGGATTTGGTGTCCTTAGCTTCACAGGTGGGAGAGTATCCTGATCCTGCTGTGTTGGGTTGAATGGAGACTGTCCCATATGGAAATGGTCTGTGATTACTGTAATGTCCTGTAGTCTTCCTTCTTTGCTTTCAATGCCATTTTGGAAGATATGTGGAGTCTGATGTGAGGCAATACCCATGGAAAATGTAAAATCATATCCACAGGTCTTGGTCCTGCCTTCTAGGGTTTACAAATATTTTATGCACTTCAATAAGGCATGCATGTGACTTCCATGATTGTTGAACACCCCCTACCCCTGCCCTTTCTCACTGTGTAGCCCAGGCTGGACATTAACTCAAGATCTTTTTGCTTCTGCTTCCTGAGTGCTGGAATTATACATGTACACCACCACACCTGGTTAAACCTATCATTCACTGATAGTTTTAAGAGCACAGTTCACCAGAATCCAGTGTTGAATCTTAGCTCCCTCCATTGCCCACTGTGATACACAACTTGTGTATATTACTAGCACCTCCAAGCCTCAATTTTCTGATCCACAATACATAGTGAAGGTTTATCACATTGTGGTTGTCATTGTTCTCATCTTAATTATTCCTGGGTCTAGCTTCACCTCTTAGGATCTCACCTTGGAGGATCCAAATCAGTCATGACTAAAGTGCTTTTTCTCTATGTTTTTCTCCCGTCTTTTCCAGCTTTGCCAAAGTCATGCATGAGACGGTAAAGGACTTGGCTCCTAAATGCGATGTGTCCTTCCTGGAGTCTGAGGATGGCAGCGGGAAGGGGGCGGCTCTCATCACTGCTGTGGCATGCCGCATCCGTGAGGCTGGACAGCGATAGAACCCCTGAAACCAGAAAGGACTTCTTCTTCCCCTCTTCCCTGTTTTAAATTATAAGATGCCATCCCCTTGTGTAAGAGATAGACCCTTCAGCTTTTCCTTGGCTGAGAGGACTGTTGGACTGGGTTTTGTCTCTGTATATATTCAGTAATAATATCCTGAGAAGAAAGGATTTGTTCACACCGGTCACAACCATTCCCATTGGTTCTCTTAGACCTTAAAAAAAGTTATAAATTTTAAACTTTAGCCATCTCCCCCTGACCGAATTCCGTATTCCTGAATAATCCTACAAGATGGTGACAGTGTTGAAAATGTGGCTGCTTTACCTTGGAGCTGAAAATGACTTTTCTAGGTGGAGAGCATCCTCCTGCCTGGATGTTGATACCGTTGCTCTTGTCAGAGATCTGGGAGGTGACCACTAATGACATGAGCTGATCCTCCTACCGGCAGAGTGGAGAGGGTGGAGGGAGAGCCCTTCTTCAACTTATCTATAAGCATTGCCCTGTGGAGTCAGCATTTGTTGTTCCTGGATTCAAGGAGTCTGATGACTGGGCAGTGAGACCAAAGCCAAGAGTCAGGTGTGCTTGTCCTTACATCTCATCATGGCTGCTTGAATATTTCATGAGCTCTAGACCTTTGGGGGAAAGAGAACCTTTTGGCTTCTTTTTAATTTTTTTTCCTGCAAAAGTGGAAACACTGTATTTTCATTTTAATTTATGTTTGAAATTTCTTTAGTTCATGAAGTAGGTCTGCTCCTTCATCATGTAACAGTTAATTGTACGTATTGTATTTATATGTTAATTTGTTATGTATATTGATATGCAGGGTCTCCTCAGTCTTGGCCTCATTAGTAGATTAGTGTGGTTAAGGGATGTGAGGTGAAGATACTGACCAGATACTAGAAATACCTCATTCGCCTGCTGGAAGAGAAGAGAAGGCTCTTTGGGGTGAGTGAATGGCAAAGTGTCAGCTTTCTGGCTCCTCCTTCCTTGAAGTCTTGGAAATGTGTGGAAGGCAGGGACGGAGACCCAGGCTGGGACAATGGATTGAAGAAGCCACAGCAGCCAGCTGCTCTATCAAGAGACTTTCCTGGGGGCGATATCATATGGGATGTTACCCAAAGGAAACCAAAGGAAACATTTCAAATATCTGTTGCTTAGAAATCTTTATTCTTAGGGCAGTCAGTATTTTAAAGCTATCTGACAAGATAAAAGAAGCCACCAAAAAATTTTATTAAAAAAAATTGTATCTAATCAATAACAAACCAAAAATGAAGCAATTAAACAATCAAACCAAACAAAACCTCAGGGACATTTTGGGGGTAACAAATTTCACCTAAGGTTTGTTTTATAAATGCTTTATAAGAAGTGTGCTTCCCTGGACTGAGCTGGCATTGGTCTGCTGACCCACTTTTATTTTTTATACACATTATTTATTTCACACTGTTGGCAGGGATGGGAGTGGCACAAAAGTGCCCATACTCTGGTTTCTAAGAGTACTGTTGATTCAGAATAAAGAGCCCACTTCTGCCCTAAAATATGAACAACTACAGACATTGAGTCTGGATACAACATGAAAAAGAGGCCTTGCAACATCAAAGTAAGATATAAGATCAAAATAGAAAGATGAAGAGAAACTCATCACTTGATTGCACCCAAGTTTTGCACATTTTTCAAACTTGTGCTGAGAACAGTGCCTGGTTGTCATTTTTGAACAGATAGGGTATAAATAAGTGAAAACTGCCCAGGTCCTCCTGGGAAGCACAGAGCAAAGGGGACAAGTCTTCGTTTCTTCCAGGCTTGCTCTGCCTGTCTGTAGCTTCTCAACTGCCCCCATCTGCAATTATTGATCCAAAATGTGGGTGCTTCTGACTATAATGAAAGCCAAAAGCCATCTGTAGTTTTATGAGTCACTAAAGGATACCCACAAAATACTGATGAATTTTAACTTTTGAATCTTAAATTTTAAATTTAGGCACCATCTGTGAAATTACACATTTTTTAAAGGTACAAATGTGTGGTAGCTGGCTATTAACGTTGTTGGTTTCCAGTCAAGAATGCTGGACAATGTATGTTGACTGTGTTCCTCGCACTAAGCCAACAGCCCCTTGCTGATGCTGCTTTGCTCTGTGTAAATACAGTGATCCCAGTCTTTGACTGGGATGTGCCGAACATGGATCATCTCAATCCTTGAGCACCCAGTCTAGTGAAGATGTTGTCACTGTGTACAATAGAGAACTAGATGAATTAACTATGTGATGTTCACTATTATTAATAAATTGTGACATTTTTCAAATATTCAGTGTGCAATCTGATGAAATATTAATGTGCATTTAGGAGCATGGAAATCTTTGGGGCATGTTAATACTTCCTGGTCAGTCCGATGAATAAATTATGGGTGTCTTGATTTTTGAGTGTATAGTCGTCTCTTGGTAGGTTGCAGGACCTGCCTGAAGACACCAAAACCTGTGGATGCTTAAGTCCCTTACATAAAATGTAAAATAGTGTAATAATGTAAATGCTTGTAAATTTGGGTAATTTAGGGTGTATGGACTGTGAGAAGTGTGTAATGTTCAATACAGATGCAAATTTTTTCCACATATTTTTGATCTGAGGTTGGTGGGTTGAATCTCTGGACATGGAGCCTACAGATATGAAAGCCAAGTGTATGTATTTGACAGGCATGTGGATACAACTTGGCCTGATCCCAGATTTTCCCTTTCCAGAAACTCAATCCTAATGGAACTGGAAGGTAACTTCCTGGCCCATCCTTGAGCACCTGGATATCACTACTACAAACCATGGCTAGCTCTGCATTTCCCACTGGTGCATCTGGGCTGGGGTGTAGCCAGCTTGTCTTGGGGCTACAGCTTGTCTCAGCAGACAATGTGATTCACTTTCAAGATATGTAGCCCCCCTGTGACCATCCAAAAAAATCACCTTTCTCTGTTCTCTCCCCACCAGCCTTTCTCCCTCCCCAATAAACAAAACACAAATCTGGGAAGTAAATTCCCCAGAGATCCCCAGTGATGCTCACTGACATTGACAATGTTGCTTGACAGTAACTGAGGAATATGATCAATAGTAAGAGAATAATAGAGCCAGTGGTGGAACAGAAGTTAAAATTAGGTCCTGCTTTTTCATGATAAACTGGTGAGTTTGTGGGGCCATTCTGATTATTAGTGGAAATATGAATTGGTACAATACATTTAGGAGGAAAAGTAAGTAATATGCATCAAAAGCAGATTCTATATAATCTTGCAGAAATTTGGGGTAAGGAAATACATCCAGTTTGGTACTAATATTTAGCTTCAGGGATATTGACTACTGTAGGCTCATAATAGCTAAAAAAGAGAAACTGTCTATATAATGAGACTACCCACTCTGTTTCAGGCTCTAGTCAGGAAAATAATTCACTTTAGTTATTACAAACATTTTAATAGAGTGACTTGATTATACAGGTGGTAGAAGAGCTGAAAAGCAACCTGAGATTATACCAAGAAAAGGTGCTTCTATTCCACCGGCTGACTCAGTCTCCAAAAGCTGGGGGTGGGGCAGGAACTGGAACCCCAAGTTGGGTGAGGGATATAGCGATAGCCTGGTTTCTGTCCCTCCTATCTTCTGTTTTCTGTCGGCTGGACCTAATGAGAAGCGAGTTGATGAGAGGGTCCTAGGGGATGGATCTGAGCAATTAGTACAGCAACTGGCATGTGCCTTGTGAGACTGTTCTTTAACATTACAGAAGCATATTGAATGATACAGAAAATGTTGACTATGCTGTTTAATGTCAAAAGACTGTTACAGAGCAGGCTACACCTTGCTTCTGTCCGAGGATTCCCCATCCTTGGATTCAGCCAATTGAGAATTGAAAATGTACTTAGGCCTATGATAGTTGCATCTGCACTGAACATGTATTTTTCTTATTCCCTAAACAAAACTATAACAACCAGTTACATTGTGCTCGGTATTATAAATCATCTAGTTGATTTAAACTGTATGTGAGGATGCATGCAGATTATATGCACATGCTACATTATTATCTATAAGGTCCTTGAACACCTGTAGGTGTCCGTGAGTATCACTGGTATCCTCAAGGGGCCCTAAAGCCAATCTTCCACAGATACCAAAGGATGACTGTATCACAATCCTGTTTATTTTATTTTATTTTATTTTATTCATATGTACATACAATGTTTGGGTCATTTCTCAACAATCCTGTTTCTGTCAAAAATGATGTTTTATGACAGGAGGTGTGATGGGCTTCGCGAATGACCCCTCGGTCTTGGAGTTGTAGTAGAGGCCACAATCTCCTTTCTCAGAGATCCCTTCAAATTACCCACTATGCTAGAATCTGGGCCCGCCAGCAGGCATGTACTTCCCTTCCTAGGTCACTTTGGACCTCTTGCTGCCTCAGGGAGGAGCTGCTCTGCCATTTCTCGATTTCCCACTGGGGCTCTGGAATGAGCATAGACCCTTAATTCCTCACAGACTCTAATAGTGTTGAGAGAAATTTTTCAATGTATAATTTATGATGGACTGCTGCAAACAAGGCCCTCAGTGCCCTTGATCACGAAGGCGCTCGTGCTTCCCTGGGGTTGCTCCCTGCCTACTTCACCTGCTGCGTCCTTTACCATGAGGGAAAATATTCCTTCCAGCAAGAAGATGAGATGGTCTGCAGCTGTTTGCAGCTGGAAAGTAGCTTTTCCACTCTGCCCAGCCCACTGAGCCCTTTTCTTTCTTGTTGCTTTGTTTCCTTTAGTCTGGGTCCCAGGTGCAGAAGGCTAAATTACCCATACTTCTGCTTCATTTAGGGCATTTTCTAGTCTTTGCACAAACCTTTCTTGCTTTTCTATTTTCTTACTCCCTTTTATCCTCATTTTTTGTTCTTATTCTCTACTCCCAATCAGCAACCATGGTACTGTGCTCGATGGCCAACTTATTTTTGTATGTGTCTTGAAGTATATATTGTTTTGGGTGGTTTCTTTTCTTTTGCAGTGCTGGGGATGGAACCCGGGACTTTGTGAATGCTAGACACGTGCTCTGCCACTGAAAGACACCCCCATCTCCATGTGCATTTTAA